TAAAAAAATGACTGCATGAAAACACTCTAGGCTTCAAGATTCAGTTGAAACAAAGGGATTAATGAGAAGAAACTTCCTGGCTGGACAATGTTGCTTTAAGTCTGAAGTAAAGCTCACAAGCAATGAATGATCTGGCTAGCTAAGAGGCCAGAAAACAGCTCTCTTTAAATGAGATAAACCTAAGAGCTGTTAAGAGTTATTACACACGGAGTAAAAAGACAAAACAGTAACGTGCACTTGAGATCCAGGTTGCCATTTCCCTGCTTGCTTACCCTGGATGACTCCATTTCCACATTCCACTTAGGTCTGACAACGTAGTCCTTGTTTGAGGGCATGGGGACCCTCGCACGGGCACAGAATCCAGGATCTCCAGGTCTGAGAGCTCTGAGGACAGGAAGAAGAGCATGCTGTCATGCAGCACCCCCCACAGCTGGGCCCAGCTGATTTAACTGCACAGGTGCCTCAAACCTCTCTGCCTCCCCAGGTCACCCAAAGTGCCCTCTTTGCTGTCTTAAGCTGGCCTCGCTATCACTCACATTTACTCTAAGAATTCTTCCACTTTCCTCCCAAAGCTGAATTCCTCTGCATTTTCAGGATTCCTTCTAGCCTCTCCTCAGCTTCACAGTCAAGCCTCACTCCTTTCCAAGGTTGCTTCCCACACCAGAACCCTAAATTCCAATTCTCTAGTCCAGTGGAGCTCCTCAAGGTTCACTTGTCACGTGAAAACTCAAACAGCCAAAATGATCCCTCAAGATGGAGTATGCCTATAAAGCAGTTTACATGGTTTTGTATATGCAATATAGTAATTTTTGTTTCTTGTCTTTAAAAGTTGAAATAATTATAGGTTTACATGTGGTTTAAGAAATAATACAGAAGGATCTAGTGTCTCTCCCAATGATAACAACATGCAAAACTATGCTACAAGAACACAACTGGGGCACCTGGGTGGCTCAGTTGGTTGGGCATCTGACTCTTGATCTTGGCCCAGGTCAAATCTCACAGGCATGAGATTGAGCCCTGCACTGACGGCACAGAGCCTGTTTGGGATTCTCTCCCCCTCTCCCTGCCCCTCTCTCGCTTGCGTGCTCTCTCAAAATAAATACTTAAAAAAAAAAAACCGGGGCGCCTGGGTGGCGCAGTCGGTTAAGCGTCCGACTTCAGCCAGGTCACGATCTCGCGGTCCGGGAGTTCGAGCCCCGCGTCGGGCTCTGGGCTGGTGGCTCGGAGCCTGGAGCCTGTTTCCGATTCTGTGTCTCCCTCTCTCTCTGCCCCTCCCCCGTTCATGCTCTGTCTCTCTCTGTCCCAAAAATAAATAAAAACGTTGAAAAAAAAAAAAAATTTATAAAAAAAAAAACCAACAACGACAAAAAAGAACACAACTAGGGTATTGATGTTGATACAGTCCACCAGTTTTTATTTACATTTTGCCATTTTTACTTACGCTTATTTGTATGTTAGTGTATTTACAATTTTATCACATGTGCAGGTTCATGTATTCACCACAAGGGACTGTCCTGGTGCCCTTTTATAAAAACACATCCACCTCTCTACCCCATCTGCCCAGCCTCTAACCCCTGGTGACCACAAATCTACTCTTCATTTCTGTGATTTTTGCATTTCAACAATGTTATATAAATGGAATACACTATGTAATCTTTAGAAACTAGCTTCATCCACTAACATAACCCCCTTGAGGACCCATCCAAGTTGTTACATCTGTCAATATTTTGTTCCTTTAAATGCTGGGTGGTATTCTATAGTATGGATGTACCACAGCTTAACCACTCACTTCCTGAAGGACATCTGGGTTGTTTCCAGTTTTGACTATTATGAATAAAGCTGTTTGCTCATCTACGGGTTTCTGTGCAAACACAAGTGTTCATTTCTCTGGGAAAATGCCCAGGAGTTTGTAAGTGCTGGGTCATACCGTGGCTGCATGTTTAACTTTATAAGAAACTGCCAAACTGTTTCCCAGAGTAGCTGTATCATTTTACCCACAGCAATGTATGAGTTGAGCTACTTTCTCAGCAGCCATGCCAGCATCTGATGGTGTGACGTACAGTTACTTTTTATGTACACATTTGAGACTAAATTAAGACTAGCATCCTTCAAAACTAAGGCCTATTTGTAAATGTCTGGGCATTCAAATCACTCAACTTTTAGGTAACCGTCCATCCCTAGGGGTAAATGGAGAATGGGTGTGGATAGGTTGGTGTGGGAGAGAAGGACAAAAAAATTCTAAATTGTTTCTATTCTCTTGTACGGAGTTTAATCTGTTCTTTTTTTTTTTTTTTTTTTTTTTTTTTTTTTTTTTTTTTTAGTTTAATCTATTCTTAACATCAAGCTTCTACAATCTTCAAAAATGTGAATAAATTAAGTGGCTAGCCAAAGAAAATTCTCATAACCTATTACCCCCTGAAGCTGGCGTCTGTCCCATCATCAAACCTATCCCTAAACCAACAACACCAGCACCCTCCAGCCCCTCTCGCTCTCCTCTTGCAATCTGGGTGCTGCCTCACTGCCAACACTCACTGTACAAGCCCCTCTGCAGCATCTGCCAACTTCCCATGCCCCTTGCCACTGCCCCTTTCTAGCATGGCCTCCTCCCTTCCCTAGGGTCCTCTCCAACATGCATGACAAGTGTACTCACTTGCCTTCACTGGCTACACCCCTTTCCAAAGTGGCACAGTTTATGGCTTATTTTCTACCCTATACTTTCTTGATTCAACGACCCTGTCTGTGGAGATGACGATCAAATCTATTATGTCTCCAGCTCCAAATCCAAGTTTCAGACCCATGATATTTATAGGAATATCCATCCCATTAGGTATCTCACGTTAACTACACTCAATCCAGAACGCACCTATGTCCTCAAAATCTGTTCTTCCTCTCCGTTTGAGCAAATGGTTATATCACTGTCTCAGTTACTTGCAGTAAAATTGTGGTTGGTGTCTTCAACTCTAGCCAAACTCCCCACCCACAGAGTCACAAACTCTTGGCAATTCTGCCCCTGCTAATAATAAGTCTTCTAACCTTCTGCTTCCCCAATACCACCTTAGTTGAACTCTTTCACTGCCTTCAGTTCCTCTGCCTCCAACCCACCCTACACCACGATGCCGGCAGCATCAGCACTCCAAATCCAATCTGACAATTTCCCGTCTCTGCTCACTTTCTACAGAATCACAGAAGTAAAAATTCCTCACCTTCAAAATTTGGCCCACATCTACACTTCCAACCTTATCTTCCACCATCTCAGGCACCAGACTACTACCCAACCACTTCAGTCTACTTGCCATCCCTTAAATGGGCCTTGCACAATAACCCCATATCTTCATGTAAGCTCTGCCCTTTGCCTATAATCCCTCTACAGACATTTTTATGAGCATGGACTATCTTTAATTCAATTTTGTATTCCCACAGCTTAACAGAGTCTAGCATGGAGCAAGCAGCAACAAAATCTTTACTGAATGAACTATTTCTCAATCTTCTATCCTCCAGAGTACCAGTGTATTTGGGGATATTCAATAAATGCTAAACTGAAAATCATCCCCCACCAATGTGAACATAACATGGTCCCCTTTGTAATCTTTCTTAAAACAAAGCAGCAAGCAGAAGATTTTCTACATGACGTCTAAGAAGAAAATACAATAAGAAAACTTACTTTTCTTCTCCTGTCAGCACCTTTTCCAGGTCTCTTCGGGGTGTCTGGCCACCAGTGCTGTGAAAAAAGTAATCCATGAGATACCAGGAAGGTCAGAATCATTTAACAAAAGAACAGCAAAGCCAACTTTTAGACCACAGGTAGTTCCCTTACACCGGATCTGGGATTACTTCTAATCTTGTGGAAGTACTACTCTTTTTAATGATCATTTGTATACCAGGTTTCATCATGGGTAAGTAGTAATTGCTATTTTTGTCACTTATAACCCTGCCATCCTGGATGCAACTATATCTGGTTTGTTGATACAAAATGAACCAGTAACAATTTTTTTCTAAGAATTTGAAAATGGGCCTGAGAAAGGGAAAGGTTTTTTTGTACAAGCAACCTTTGAAACTGTGGCAGATGCCACATTCCACCAGATGGAACCATAAAAGGAGGGAGCGTGGGCCTTCATGGTAGAGTACCACATTTAAACTAAAAGGGTGTGATCTACACAGACATATCAAGGTGACAGAAAAGACAAAATGCTATCATCTTGCAGGATTCTTATTGATCTTATTTACAAAACAACGGCATTACTGCAGTAATATTTACTCTGCTTACTCATACCTGTTCATTCTCCGTCGTTGAGGCATTTGTTCTAGATCTCTCTGCTCTCTTTCTTCTCTTGTCATACCTTTGTAGTTTGAGGTAAGACCAAATATAGGCCGAGACCATTCATCTGTCACAAGGAAAAATCGATTGTTTAGACCACAAAACAGCATTTCTGCTACCATTCCCTGAAACAATCACACCCCAGCGTGATGTGACATTCCAGGCATTTAGAATATTCTTTCCCTAAAGATACCATTGTTTCAAGATCATTTCAGGATATATGCAGCACATAATACCAGTATAATCACCAGCTTCAGCTGATTCAGAAAATTCAGGGTAAAAAAGTCATTCTATAACCACTACAGAGGTTTACAAAAAGTAACACCTGACTCGCTCTGATAGTCATCACTAGCAGTGCTGACATTTCATTGCCTAATTTCTAACAATTTACTGAAAATAGAAAATCTTCAAATTCTTCCACGTTCCTATTTTAACCAAAAACAAGTCAAATTGTCAAATGGTCTACATCTTCAAAAATTGCATTTTAATAGTGCAGTACAGAATCTAGATTTCATGAAATCTAAGAAAGCTGCTACAGGGACGTGACCATGAAGAAAACTACTACGTGCCCACTGTTTAGTCATTGAAAGTCCAGAAGTGCCAACTGACGTTTTTGTCCTCAACATAATGTTCCACTTAATACACTATCAAAACAAGCAGGAAACTTCACACACAGAAGATAGGTGTTATCAAGTAAGAAGGAAGCAGGGGGTCTCAGGGGGCCTATGTATCTTTATATACACAGACCCACCAACCCCACTACTGGATTCAGAATCACTGTTACAGTAAGTCATGGGTATCACTGGAAATACTGTTTCTCTAAGCAGAGGGCAAAATCAGAGTTGAGAACTAATGCATAAAAGTTCTCATACAACAGCGCACTACAAATTATTAACAAGATCAAAAATGTAACATTTCTCTGATTTATAACAAAAAATAAATTTCTCTCAAAAAGTCTTGATAATCTCAGAAGTTGAGGAGAAAAATAATTACTGTATTCACATAGAGGAGTAGTTATTTTTTGATATACCCTTGAAGTTTAAAACATTCCTTTCCAACACAGAGCACAGGAAGAGTTAAGGAGAACGATGAAAACACACATGGTTTCATTCTTAAAACTGAAAGATTTCATAAATGATATGGTAACAGATTAGATGAATTTCATCCAGACTCCTGGATTTCTCTGGTATCATTAAATAGAACATGCAAAAGGCTTTGGAGATCATTATAAAAGTTAACAACAATAGCATTAGTGGCTAACATTTCTTGAGGACTTACTATGTGCTAAGCACCATGCTTTATATATATCCTCTCATGTAACTTTTACTTAAGTGAATACATAATTATTTTACAGAGGAGGAAACCAAGGCTTAGAGCTTAAATCACTTGCCTAAGGATATGCAGTAAGGATTTGAACCCAGGTATGACTGACTCTAGGGCCTGTACACTAACCCCCCTCTATACATGCTCTTGATCCAGGCTTAGACAACTTTTCACTTGCTATCTTTAATATCGACAGCATACTTAAATCTGCTGAGAAACATTTTAAGTCTAAGGATTAAAAAAAAAAAACCTGGTACCTATAAGAAATTACCAAAAAATTTTCTATTCTACTTTATGAACTCATTTTAAATGAATCTTGACAAAAATATAGTTATATATACATGTCTTTCTGATATACACAAACACAACAAACAAAAAGCAAAATGTACATACTGATTAATTTCCCTGCCATATCCTTGTTGGACCTTGATTCCTTGGGGTGTTTATAGAGATACATCACTGCTCGTCCAATCCCACTATGCTTCAGGGTCTCCTGGCTCACACTAGGTAGCTGGGGAACATAAACACATACATACACATTAATCACTCAGAAGCTGGGAGTCCTGCCAATCTACTCTAGAGGACCTCCAAGGTCTGGTTCATTCACAACAGAGTAACAAAAAATCCATTTTCAGGATCTGCAGACATTGAACACAAAGATACTCTGTGTTCACATCAAAAGTTGAGAGTTCCGTATTATACTGAGTCAAAGTAAAACTTAATGTGAGAAAATGTATACTAACCACACTCAGAGGTTAGTAGTTTAAAACAAGAGTCAATACAGGCCTCTGAATCAGTCTGAACCCAAGCATAGCCATCTGCTAGTTATGTGACCTTGGACAAGTCATTTAACTTCTCCGAGTCTTAATTTCCTCATCTGTAGAATGAAGACAATACACCTACCTTGCAGGTTTGTCGTGAGGAATAAATGAATCAAAACATGTATGAACACCTGGCACAAAGGAAGTTCCTTGGGAATTCCTTCAGAAGTTAAGTAGCCTGCCCAAGGTGTCACAGCCACATAAAGGCAGCCCAGCTCAAGACTCACATGCAAGTTTATCTGACTGAAGTTGGTGCCTGTTCTACTTCAAGTGCCTCCCCAGAACATGTCCACTACTGTATGATTACTCTCAGATAAACAACCGCAACTCCAAGATCTTTTTCTTTCAATTCTATAGTTACATGAAATTTTAAAAGGCCTTCCTTTTTATGCTCATTTTATTTGATATGTTCCTACTAAACACATATACATGAAACCCCTGTTCCGACAGACTATGTCAGAGAGATTGTGTAAGAACATACGGTAAAACACAGAGGTTGTAATTATACAAACCACAACAGACAATTAGAGGAGCATACAGTCAAATTATCCGCCTCTAACCTCTTGTAGAATCTTCAACAGCTCCTCTCGAATCTTTAGTGCTGGCAAACTCCTATCCGGTAGAGGGGAGAGCCATTCTTTGATGGCAGACATCACACCACTGTCAATAAATGTTTCTTTAAGGTCTTGCCTGCAGTAATTAAAAAAAAAAGTCAAGTCTATGAACCTTGGTTGCACTGTAGCTTTCTCTGGATTTTCTTATATGTTTAGTGAAATTTCCAAAACCTACTTTATTTATTTATTTATTTATTTATTTATTTATTTATTTATTTATTTGTTTATTTATCTATCTATCTATCTATCTATCTATTTTATTTTTTTAATGTTTATTTTTGAGACAGAGAGAGACAGAGCATGAACAGGGGAGGGGCAGAGAGAGAGGGAGACACAGAATCCGAAGCAGGCTCCAGGCTCTGAGCTGGCAGCACAGAGCCCAACGCGGGGCTCGAACTCACGGACCATGAGATCATGACCTGAGCCGAAGTCAGACGCTTAACCAACTGAGCCACCCAGGCGCCCCCAAAAACTACTTTTAAAGTTACTCATATACATTATTTCATCCTATTTCAAAAGCAGTATGAAACGTAGTTCCTACTTTAAAAACAGATTTGAGAGGCAAAGATCATTTGTTAAAAACATGAATTATACAAGATAGGTTAATGTTGATATGAATGGTACAGACAGTAAGCTCCAATTATTACAACTGAAAAAAATAATAATAATGTTTAGAGATTCTCAAACTAGTTAGGTGATAGAGAACCCAGAACTGTGCTATTCTTTGCAGGACACCAAGGAGAATATTATTCTCTTAGCAGAAAAAAAAAATCCCAAAGAAATACAAATATTTAAATTACATTTTATGTACAGATTCAATTACTCTATTGACATATTATGACAATATTACATATATGAAATCTGCAACGGAAAACTGCTTCTTGGGATTAAGGCAGCAATTTTCTAGTGGAAAGTTCTAGCCTATGCTGTTGGCTATGGTTAGGTTCAAGGAGAAAACAAAGTGAGTCAGGAATATGAGTACACCAATGGAAGAGCCTCATGACAAGGATCTACCATAAAAAGGTCCTTATTCCAGAAGGACCAGTGACATACTTCATGATAATAACTGGTCATATAAGACTCTACAATATATGTTTCAAGTAGTCCCTCAGAATCTGCTCTGCTCTCCGCCACACCAGTAAAGGAGATGCAACTTTACCAGACTCAAGATAAGACAGTCTATAAAGAATGAAGGCAGTAGTTTATGTGCTTTTCTTTCCTTAGTATCAGTTTGCCATTTTTCTGTTTGTATCAGGGAGCAAAGGTTAAAGATCTGTGAGGAAGTAACATGATTCAGGAGATTCTATTCATTACTATTTTTCTGTGAATTGATAGAAGACAGTCATTCTTTAACATCTCTAGAACACTGGTACATAGTTTGAATATTATTCCATTAAAAGGAAAAAAATTTTTCAAGAAAACACAATACTTACTTCTTAAGGTGCATGACCACAGTCGGCAATAATGTTAATTTTTTCAGTGCTGGCTTTTTTTGATTGTTCAACTGTCTGTCTTCCTATCCAGGAAGAAAAAGATTTTTCAAACAGCAGTATTTATTGGCTTCACCCCTAGCATAGAGCCCAAGGCAGGGCTTGAATTCATGACCCTGAGATCAAGACCTGAGCTGAGATCAAGAGCTGGATGCTTTACCTGACTGAGCCACCCAGGTGCCCCCTAAACTTTAAAATAAGGCAGCAATTTCGCGAGGTAACAATTTTTTCTACAAGAAAGGATAATACGCTTTTTTGTAGAACCCCAAATTCTGTCAAACCTACAAAACTATCAGAGTAATTAGCCTAACCAATTACAAATTTAGGGGAACAATGTTACTGTTCTTGTTTACTTGGATGCTTTCTCCTATTTGAATTACAGAAAATTTCAAATTCTACCAACACGGAAAACAAGATAATATACTCCTATCAATACATTTATTTCAACAATTGAACACCCATGTTCAGTCTTATTTCAGCTACACGATCGCCAGCTACTTTTTCTTTCCCTTCCCTGAAAAGGCCACACAACAAATCAAGCGACGAAAGGCAAGAGGGGGCTGGCAGGGGTCCATCTCACCTCGGCAGCTTCATTCATCTTGACGATCATGGCACTCACTACGTCATCAGCGTCACTGATGAAAGTACCGCCATCACGATTCCGTCTGCGCTTGCCGCTCATGCTCTTCTTCCGCTGCAACATCATCTCGAAATCCGACAGAAAGTCCATACTAAGCAGCAACACAAAATCAAGTGAAATACAAACCCCCTTTATACATATTTCCTTTTGTCACAGTTAATAACCACCAACTTTCTTAATTCTAACTCCATGAAATGCTGCTTTCTTCTAAAGCGCAAGTACTTATTAGAATTTGGCACCTTTCAAGATACCAGACTTCTCTGAACACAGATTCCAACCGTCTCACAAAAGTATGTGAAATTCAATCGACTAATATTTTGTAGCTAAAACTTTACCTTATTGCCCCTGGGATCCCAAAGTCAGCTTTTCTCTCAAAAAAAAAAAAAAAAAAAAAAATGTATTCTAATTATTAGGTTATTTTTCAGTAAGTCAAGAGCTTACTTGGTGAAGGTGACACTACATAACCCCACAAATCAAGACAGCTGAGCACAGGGCAAATGAAAAAAATAACAAAAGTAAACATTTTCAGACAGCACTGTATATAGAGAAGTAAAAGAAAAATGGAACAGGCTCTTTCCTACACTTAATAAGGAACCAAAATAAGAAAAAACGTTTGATAGGTTCTAACCTTCATTTTTTAAGTTCTCTTTAACAAATTAAAAAAATAAAATAAAACAAACTTACTGTTTTCCTCTCTTTATGTTATCATCAGAATCTGAATCTTCTGCTTCTTTTACCTGGGTTTCACTTTTTTCCTCTTCCAAATCTTCTTGGTTAAAACCCTAAAGGCCAGGTAAATTTGCCAGGGTTATCACAACTTTCTTACAGATTTTCTTCTGTATAACTGCTCTTAAATGTTTTGCCTTTTTTTTTTTTTAATGTTTTGCCTTTTTAAAGTAATACATTCACAAAGAACAAAAATTAAACAGGTATCAAAAAGCATATAGCAAAAAAACTGACTCCCACGCTAGACGGTAGTGTTACTAGTTTTCTTAGGTCTCCTTCCAGAAATAGGCTAAGCCTACACTGATATACCTATTTGTACACATATGTATTTACTATCTCCTTTTATTATATAAATGGCAGCATAACTCTACACACTGGGTACAGTACAATGTTCTGCACTTTCCACATTTAACAACACAATCTGGAGACCAATTCATATTGGCATAAAGTATTCTCATTTTTAAGGCTTTACACTATTTCACCCTATGACTGCAACTATAATTTGTTTATACGTTTTGCCACTGACATTTAGGTATATGTATTTGAAATTTTGTTAAATACCAAACTTTCCACAGAAGTTACGCTAATTAACTCTCCTTCCAGCAAAGCATAAATACACCTGTTTCCCCAGCTTCTCACTACTACAGGTTATCAAATATTAATAGGTGCCAATATCTGGACTGAAAACTAAAAGGCATCTTTCTTTGCATGAATAAGGGTGAGCCTTTTTTTTTTCATGTTTAAAAGCCATTTGTAATTCTTTCTCTATGGAACTCCCAATATCCTATGTCCATTTCCTGTTGGAGCTTTGTCTTATTGGTATGGAAAGGCTCTTTAAAAATTAGGGAAATTAGCACCTGGGTGGCTCAGTCCGTTAACCATCTGACTTAGCTCAGATTATGATCTCACGGTTTGTGAGTTTGAGCCCCAGGTTGGGCTTGGTGCTGATAGCACAGAGCCTGGAGCCTGCTTCAAAATCTCTGTGTCCTTCTCTCTCTCTCTACACCTTCCCCACTTGTGCTCTGTCTTTGTCTCTCTCTCAAAAATAAATAAACATTAAAAAAAATAAAATAAAGTAAAAATTATGGAAATTAGCCCTCTGTAAATGACAGGGACAGCACAATCCTCACATTTGCAGTTTTGTTTTGTTTATGGTAATGTTTTCCAGGCATAATATTTTATTTTTATGGTCAGTCTTTTCTTTATAGCTTCTAACTTTCACGTCATACTTAGAAAGACCTTTCCAATGGTTCACCTAGTATGCTGTTTTTCTCACTGAACTCAACCTATAACCAAGCTGATCGTTAACTCTCCAAACTAGAGAAACACATCTTATTCTTGTAAAATGCTGCTTAACTTAGTATGAGCTCCACAAGAGCAATGTCCACGCAATCTGGCATACAGGTTCCCAAATATTTGTTGAATGAATTCTTCCTAGTTTCCTTAGCTTCACTCTGCTATCCTGCTACCATCTTAGACTCTAAATTCATCTAGTTTCACTCTCTTACTTTAGTAATTAATGATGTTTCAATGCAAGACCTGTTTAACAAACATGTCTTTTTTCTTTAATCTTTTTTTTTTGAGCGAGAGACTGCGAGTAGAGCAGAGGGGTAGTGGGAGAGACAGAGAATCTTTTAAGCAGGTTCCATGCTCAGCACGGAGCCCAATGTAGGGCTCGATCCCATGACCCTAGGATCATGATCCAAGCTGAAATCCAGAGTCACATGCTCAACCAACTGAGCCACCCAGGCAGCCTGACAAGGACATCTTAAATTTCTGGGTGGCAAGGATATTTTGTTTCATTTTGTAATGAAGTTCCAATTTCACTGCTTTGTACTCAGAAAACATTGGCTATACTTTGTAATTTTTGCAAAAGCTTGGTTTAAAATTTATATGGGAATGGGAAAAAGTAAAAGCCAAGGCAATCTTGAGGAATAACAAGCTTAGAGGACATATACAACCAAATATAAGCAGTTCTATATTAACAGTACAAGGATAAAGAGACCAAGAAAACAGAGAAGATACTGCTGAGACAGACTGGAAATCATAGACACTACATGTAATGACAAAGATAGCACTACAGAGGAGCAGGAAAGGATGATCTGGGTCAACTGGATATTCAAAATGGGGTGGGGGGGGATATACCTTGACTTTTTTTTTTTTAAACAATTTATTTATTTATTTATTTATTTATTTAATTAATTAATTAAAAAAAATTTTTTAACGTTTATTTATTATTGAGAGATAGACACAGAGCATGAGTAGGAGAGGGGTAGAGAGAGGGGGAAACACAGAATCTGAAGTAGGCTCCAGGCTCTGAGCTGTCAGCACAGAGCCCAACACGGGGCTCAAACTCACAAACTGTGAGATCATGACCCAAGCCGAAGTCAATCGCTTAACCAACTGAGCCACCCAGGCGCCCGTAAAACATTTTATTTTTAAGTAATCTCTATATCCAACATGGGGCTCAAATTTACAACCCCGAGATTAAGAGTCGCATACTCCACAGACTGAGCCAGCCAGGGACCCCTTGACTTCTATCTATACACACCCATTATCCATTACAGGTGAATTGTACAACTAAATGTGAAAGGTTAAAACAAGCTTCTAGAGAATAATTCAAAGAGAATATCTTTACGACCTTAAGGATAAGCAAAACTTTCTTGGAATTCAAAAAGTTTCACCATAAAGGAAAAGACACGCAAAGTTGATTTACATTAAAATTAATAACTTGTTCATCAAAAGACTCCATTAAGGATGTGAAAAGGCCAGACAAAGAATAGGAAATAATTTTAACTTTTACAATCATCAATCTTTTTATATTTGTATTCATATCCAGATTACATACAAAGACACTCTTCTGTGGCTTTTTGGTCTGCTTGTTCTATTGGCTACATTCCACTCAGAAAACAGATTTGTGTATTTCTCTTTGCAGCTGTCAACTTTTGTTGTGTATATACATTTCAGCTGTCGTAGTATATATACACAATTTTAAAAACTTTTTATTATGAAGTGACCCTCTTTATCTCAAATGTTTTTCTGCCTTGATCAAGGTCTGTCTCTCTGATATCCATATCCTGTGCCAGTTTTCTTCTGATTAGTGTTCATAGAGTATCTTTTTCCATTCTTTTATTTTCAACTTTTATCTTCTGTTTCATATGAATCTTGAAATGAGTATATAGCTATTTTGTAAAATCCAGTCTGACCATCTCTGTGCTTTAATTGGAGCACTTGATACATTTCAACTGAATATAATCAGAGATGTTAGTTATCAAAGCTTAAATCTGCTACCTTTACCATATACTACTTTCCAATCGTCCCCTGTTCTATACCTCTTTTTTTTTTTTTCTCTTGCCTTCTTTTGGATTAGCTTTTACTATTCCATCTTTTCCTCCTTAGGTTGGAGGCTACACATTCTATTAGTCGTCTTAGTGGTTGCTTCAGAGATTACAATGCAAAGTCTACAGACATCCTTTTACATATCTGTAAAGACCATGTCCATTCCCAATTTGTTACTGCTGTCACACGTTTGAAATTTTATACGTATTTTAATCTACACTAGACAGAACTTTTTTTTGTAGCATCAATACTCATTTAGATTTACCCACATACTTTTGTTGCTTTTTTCCTCCCTAAGTCCTTGACCTTCCACCTGAGATTTTCTGCCTTTCACATCTCCTTCCATTGGTATCCTGGTAAGATGAACTAGGAGGGAATCTTCATTCGTGACAAATATTTTTGCTGACTATAACAGAACACTGAGTTTGAAATTATTGGATTCTACTGTTTCTACTAAGAAGTCAGCTGTTACAGTCTAATCTTTGCCTCTCTGAATGTAATATTTTCCCCCTCTGGCTACTTTTAATATTTCCCAGTCTTTTTTGGTTTCTTGCAATTCTACTATGATGTATTTAGGTGTAGGTTTCATCGTATCATTGCATTTATCCTGCTCATAATTTGTACTTCTAGAATCTCTAGCTTTATGTATCATTTCCTTTACTGCTTCTGCCACATACATTTTTTTCCTCTCCTAAGATTCAACCTATGTTAAACCTTCTCATGTATAATTTACATTTTATTCTTTTACATATCTTAATTCTTCATTCTAAATAGCTCCTTCTAACCTATCATCCATCAGTTCACTCCTTTTCGAATAAATCTAATCTGTCATTAAACTCATCCATGGAATTAATTTCAGTTACTGTAATTTTACAGTTTCAGAATTTTTACTCAGTTCTCATTGTTTGCTCTGACAAAACTTCTTACCTTTTACCTCCCTGAAGAGCTTTTTTTTAAGGCAACATCTTAAAAATTTGTTCTAGAGCCTCAAGGTCTATTTCTATTGTCTGAGGTCACCATTGTTTCTTTTTAACGTTATTGACAATTAGGTACCACATTGCATATCTGATAAACTACAGAAAAAATGAGGCCTGTGATGATGCTACCTTTGTCCTGAAGGGATTTGTTTACATATGTCAGGTGCCTGAGAGCAGTAGGCAAGAGTTAAGAGCAAGAGGTTTTCAAGGGTCTCCTAATCTCAGCAGGCTCTGACCTCCAAATACTGTCTCTTGAGCCCAGAAACTGTCAAAAATATGACCAACCTCGGGGCACCTGGGTGGCTCAGTTGGTTAAACATCCAACTTCGGCTCAGATCATGATTTCGCAATTCGTGAGTTTGAGGGCCACAATGGGCTCTTTGCTGACAGTTCAGAGCCCGGAGCCTGCTTCAGATTCTGTGTCTCCTCCTCTCTCTGCCCTTTCCCACTCTCTCTCTCTCAAATATAAACAAACATTAAAAAAAAATTCTTTTTAAAATATGACTAGCCTCTCAGCATGAACAGGCAAACATCCCAGAAAAAGCATTTTAAATGCTGAGCTTATCTCTTTTCTTTTTTAACTGTTCATTTTTAAAATTATTTTTTGTTATTTTTTTATTCTCAAGTTAGTTAACACAGTGTAGTCTTGGTTTCAGGAGCAGAACCCAGTGATTCATCTCTTACATAAGACACCCAGTCCGAGCTTACCTGTTTAGGTATCTGTCTTTTGCTAGCTTTGGGCTTAGTAATTCTTTGTTACCTTATTCCTCTGCTGATGAGATTTTTAAGTATTTTATCTAGCTTTTCTAGTTGTCCTTAGCAGAAAGGTTGGTCCAAATTACCTAGCCTACCATAGCTAGAATCACAAGTTCCATAAGAACTGTGAATCCTTCTCTTCAGCATTATAACGTACCTTCTGTCGTCTCTTAACATGTTCCTTCCAATTAATTCAATTTTGCCTGTTACTTTCCTTCTATGCCTCTGTATACACTTTTATTCCACTTTCTGAATCCTTTCTTCTCGATTTTTCTACTGAATACACACTTGTTTTTTGTTTTGTTTTTTTTTTAAAAACATTATTGAGAGCGCGCAAGCAGGGGAGGGGCAGAGAGGGGCACGGGGGATCTGAAGCGGGCTCTGCATTGACAGGCTGACAGCAATGATCCTGAACTCACAAACCTCAAGATCATGAGCTGTGCTGAAGTCCAATGCCCGACTGAGCTACTCAGGTGCCTTTACATACCTTTTTCTTTCTACTTATTGGAATTACCTATTTGGGAACCACTGTCACAGAAATAGAAAGAGCATATTTAAAGAAATATCTCCATCTTATACTTACTGTAAATTCTTCTTCCTCTTCATCACCAGATTCTCCAAATATGTCTGCAATAAGATTTCTAGAAGAGAAGGAAATCATTTGCTTTCTTCTCATTTACACAGGAACCACAAAATCTTTTTCTAACAAGATACAATTTACGTATCATAAAATGTGCAGATCTTAAGTGTCCGTTTCAGTGGGTTTTGAGAAAAGACAACATTCACATAGCCATTACCATAGTCAAAATATAGAACAACTTGATCTCTCCAGAAAGTTCATCCCTTTCCAGTCAATACCCTACATGAACATCTTAAAGCCAACCACCATTCTGATTGCCGTCATCACAGATTAATTTTGTCTGCTCTTGAACTTCACATGAGTGGAATCAGACATGTCCTCTTTTTCTTTCACTTAATATTCTGAGATTCATCTATGTTATAGTACATAACAATAGTTCAGGAACTGAATTCCTGAATCCCCCAAAATCATGCAATCGGGCAGGATATACTATATCACCTCCCAATAAAATTTTAATACAAGTTTAAAAAACTTAAAAGACAAACCCCTCTCTACCACCTCACATGAACCCTTGAAAACTCACGTTATGCTGTCACTTACTCTTCTTCGTTCCCCGACTCACTATCACTCCCAAACAGATCCTTCTCTTCGTTCTTCTTATCAGACAATTCTTCTTTTCCTGCTTCTTCTTCACTGTCAGAAGCTAGAGTCTTCTCTCTCTTGCCTGGTTTATCTGATACAACATCACTGTCAGAGTCATCTGCATCAGAGACAACCCGACTCTTCTTTGCTGCTGTGAAAAAAAAGTTCAAAATATCCTTAATCTTATTTGTCACGATCATGGTATTACTAAGAATAACAGGTGCTTTTAAAATGGCAGTACTCAGCAAAAATCAAAGGGCTCCTAACACACAGCTTAGAATAATAATTAAAAAGAAAAATAACTAGGGGCACCTGGCTGGCTCAGTCAGAGGAGCAAGAGACTCTTGACTCGAGTCATGAGCTGGAGCCCCATGCTGGGTGCAGAAATTAAATAAATACTTCATTTAAAAAGAACGGTACTAAAAGGTTCAGAGTCATATTACAATTATCTGTTATTGTTTAGGAAAAAGGGGCCAGAAGATGAAGAACGAAACTGTCAACATAAAAGTGGGTATCAATAGGCACCTTTCCTTTGGGGGAACAGAAAAACTGAAGACTGCAATGATATGCAGAATTAGAGTCCCTTCTATTTTGCTGAGTATTAGCAGCACTGAAAAGGTTTAGATATTCTTTTATGGAATCCCCTTACTTCCTGATCATCACTGGTCGGTTTGGAATTTCTCATCTCCCCCAGTAAACTAGGTGGCACATGTGTGAGGCTCTTTTTCTTTCTCCTGTAACTGCCAGGTCATAAGGAAATATGTCTTCTCCCCACTCAAAAGTAAGTTTCATAAAAAAGTAATCAAGGGGCGCCTGGGTGGCTCAGTCGTTAAGTGTCCGACTCTTGATTTCGGCTCAGGTCATGATTTCAAAGGTCATGATTTCTCACTCGTGAGGTTGAGTCCTACATCAGGCTCTGCACTGACAGTGCAGAGCCTGCTTTGGATTCTCTCCCTCCCTTTCTCTCTGCCCCTCCCCTGCTCATGCTCTCTTAAAATAAATAAACATTAAAAAAAAGTAATGAAGTGAAAACTATTATCCATGAAAACAGGGGCCCAGCTAGCAAAGACTGGAAAGAGACACGGAGTCTCTAAATACAGTCCCTCACAAACTTCCTTGTATTTGGCAACTATTTGACGATGTTTAACAAGACAGGTACCCATGGAAGCTCAGTCACTATCTACATGGGATCTAACGGATTAACTGTCAGATCCACAGCCAAGTCTGCACCCAGCTGGGTTTGCACATAAACAGATTTCTTTGAAATATTACTCTTCCCCACAGAAAACTATCTTTCATGTTCCCATGGAAACTCCATTAGTTTACTGTTTTGAACCAGTAAGACCTTAACCAATGCTCCTAAAACAACTCAAAGCCAATTTAACACTAAGATCGGCCCCTGAAAACCAAGCAAAACTAGTGTCCTAGTGATATTTTAGAATATCAAGTTGAATGAGATAGTAGAGATCTAACATTTCAGAAACACACAGAGCTTCGCAGTCACAAGCTCAGACAAGAATGAAAACTATGCACAAACAGTTCAAAAAAGGAAGCATCCTTACATGCTTTCTCTTCATCTTCACTGTCAGAAAGCACAGCAGCTTTTCGCTTTGCTACTTTCTCCTCTTCCCTGACTTTTTCTTCATCTTCGTCACTGTCAATTTTTGGCCTTTTGGGTTCCTCCTCCTCACTGTCTGAACTCTGGATCCTTTTTCTGTCTATATGGCTATCTGAACGAAAGGAGTCCTTCTGCATTTCTGCATCCTCTCCCTTGTTCTCCCCATCGCTGTCCTCGTCCGACTCTGGCTTCTCTTTGTGCCTGGAGGCATCCTCAGTTTCGGAATCACTGGCGGGTCCCTTCTGAGGCTCCTCGCTCTCAGAGTCACTGACTCGGGGCTTGGGAAGCTCCTCGTTTTCTGAATCACTGGCCTGGTTCCTTGGGGGGTCCTCACTTTCCGAATCACTGACACGGGGTTTGGGAAGCTCCTCATTTTCTGAGTCGCTGGCTTGGTGCCGTGGCGGTCCCTCACTTTCCGAGTCACTGACACGGGGTTTGGGAAGCTCCTCATTTTCCGAGTCGCTGGCCTGAGTCCTCTGAGGCTCCTCACTCACGTCTGACAGGGGCTTAGGGAAGCTCCTACTTCTCCTGAATCACATTCTAGGCTTTGAGCCAGCTCGGTTTTGAATCACTGGCCTGGTGCTGTGGGGGCTCCTCACTCTCGGAGTCACTGATTTGAGGTTTTAGAACATCCTCTGTTTCAGAGTCACTAGCAGGACTTTTGGGGAGCTCTTCCATCTCTGAATCACTGGCAGGATGCTTTCTAACATCTTCATTTTCTGAATCAGTTGCGTGCCCATTAAGAAGGTCCTCATTTCTCCTAGATCACTTGAGGTAGCTCTTCTCCTCACCTCAGAGTCACTGTCATGCTGATAGTGTCCCTCATTCCTAGGAATCACTTCAACAGGCTCCTGCATGCTCTCGATTCAAGTCACTGTCCTTTTTGCCTTGAAGCTCCTCACTTTCAGAGTCACCGGCATTAAGGCTTTGAGGGGTCATCATTTCCTGCAGAATCCGTACATGATTGTCTTTTGTTGAGGCCATCCTCCGACACAGGTTCATTCTAAAATATCAATGGTAAAAATTATAAAGTGCAAGAAAAACGCTTGTATAATGCTTAAATTTCATAAACATTTTTCAAATACATGGGAATATGCACACTAAAAAAAATTCTTGTCCACACCTATAGAAACACCTCCAATTTTATTTGATTTATTTTTTAATTAAAAAATTTTTTTCAACGCTATTTATTTTGGGACCAGAGAGAGACGAGCATGAAGGCGGAGGGGCAGAGGCAGAGAGGGAGACACAAGAATCGAAACAGGCTCCAGGCCTGAGCATCAGCCAGAGGCGCTAATGCAGGGGCTCCGAACTCACTGTGACCGCTGAGATCGTGACCCAAGCTGGGGAAAGTCGGACGCTAACAGAGACTGCCACCATTACCCAGCTGAACAATTACTGCTAAAGAGAGACCATCTACCTGTGAAATGGCTAACATGGTTTAGATCCCATAATGGGAAAAGATAAACAGTTTTCAGCAAAACAAACGTGTAAAGCATGCCACCAGATTACTATACAGGAGGCTTATATCCTGAAAAACTAGCCAAAAAAAAAAAAAAAAAAGCCTGAGCTTTTATACCTAAATTTAATAAAATGTATTTTCACAGAATAAAACATATACCCAACTTCTTTTTTTTTTTTTTTAATATTTAATACTAAGAGAGAGAGAAAGGGGTGGGGGGAGGGAGAGAGGGAAGGGGTGAGCAGCAGAGAGAGGGAGACACAGACCTTGAAGCAGGCTCCAGGCTCCGAGCTGTCAGCACAGAGACCAATGCAGGGCTTGGACCCACAAGCCATGAGATCAGACCTGAACTGAAGTCAGACGCTCAACCAACTGAGCCACCCAGGCGCCCCTACATGTACCCAAGTTCTTCTTAAAAGAAACATTCTTGGATTCTATAAAGTTAAAATTATTTTAAGAAAAAAAACTATGAAACTTTAAGGGTGAAATGATATGCAGGGCATATTCTCCCAGGAGAATCTGAACAAACAAGGAGAGGGGTAGTTATTTCACACCGACTAAGCACCTAGTAACAGCCCAACTCCCAGGCGGCTCTCTCCTGCTAGTTCATTTACTCCTCACAACAGTACTTTTCACAATAACAAAACTGAGGCTTGGAGCAGCCTGGGTCATACACCTAGTAATCCTGGTACAAAAGTTTAAGGTTTAGGAAAAACGTGATATAACTATAGCAACATAATGTTAAGAGAAATAATCTGAGAACAGAGAGTATGAACTTGATATATGTATATTAGAACTACATTTTTCCAAATATAAAGAACAAGATATAAAATTATATATACACCAAAATACTAGTAACTGGGATCTGGGAGATTTTTTCTCATCTAGTATTTGAACTTTCAATAACATGGTGATTAATATTCTGTTTTAAAAAGTTAAAGTGTTTCTGTGACTTTTCCCCATTAAAAATGTTCTGAGCCAAATATTTCTCTTTAGAATATATGACTGACATTACCTGATATTACCAGAGATGAGTTTTCAAGGAGCAAAGAATTTTTAATAATGTTTATGCCCACCAGCATGCTATGAAATAATTCAGTGACAAGATAAATGGCAAGAAAAAGTCTTCAGAAAACTTGTCCTTTAACTTGCCTCCAGCTCATTTAAAGTATGCTGTGATAGACTACAAAACATTATACAACAAGCTTTGAAGCCTAAGTTTGAGGGGGTTTTTTCTGTCCATATTTTAGGACCATCTCGACAGCACAGCATTCCAAATAAACAATCATTGCTGAACATATTTATTCAAATAAAACATGTGCAGGAAACTTTCTAAAATCATAAACTTTTCAAGTTTCCTACAGGCACTTTTCTTTAGCACTGGGCATTCAGCACAGCACTGGATTCCTTCCCAGCCATACATCCTATTATCCCATTAAAATAGGTGTTTATAAAATGTGATATAAGGACAGGAAAAGTAACACAGACTCTTGCACTACAGTACAATACTCCATATATTGCTAAAAGTCTACTTGAAAAACTATCTTAATGGTCTTTAACTATGAAAATATAATTTAGAATGTTAAGTCCTAAGAAGGCAGGCATTTTTGGCCTGTTTTCTTCATTGAGGTATCTTCAGAGCACAGAATGGATTCTGGTATACATACACCAAGTGGGAATACATCTGACCCTTGAACAACATGGGAGAGGAATGTAGGAGGTGCTGACTGCTGCCCCCCCCACAGTTGAAATTTGTAACTACTGACTTCCCAAAACTTAACTAATTAGCCTACTGCTGCCTAGAAGCCTTACTAATAACTTAAACTGTCAATTACCACATATTTTTAGTATGTTATATATTTTGTATACTATTTCTTATAATAAAGTAAGCTAGAAAAAGTGCTATTAAAGAAAATTGTTAAGGGGGAGCTTGGGTGGCTCAGTCAGTTACGCATCTGACTCTTGATCTCAGTCAGCTTGGGCCTTGATCTCAGGATCATAGTTCAAACCCCAGAGTGGGCTCCGCAATAGGTGTAAAGCTTACTTAAAAAAAAATAATACTAAAAACTAAAAAACTAAAAAAAAAAAGAAAATCATAAGGAAGAGAAAATACATTTAAGCACTGTATTTATTAAAAACAAAAACATAGGGGCGCCTGGGTAGCTCAGTCAGTTAAGTGTCCGACTTCAGCTGGGGTCATGATCTCGCAGTTTGAGAGTCCGAGTCCAACATCGGGCTCTGTGCTGACAGCTGGAACCTGGAGCATGCTTCAGACTCTGTCTCCCTCTCTCTCCGCCCCTCCCATGTTCATGCTCTATCTTTGTCTCTCAATAATAAATAAATGTTAAAAAAAAAAATTAAAAAAAAAATAACAAAACACATATAGGGGTCCCTGGGTGACTTAGTCCGTTGAGTATCTGACTTCAGCTCAGGTCATGATCTCATGGTCCATAAGTTCAAGCCCCACACTGGGCTCTATGTTGACAGCTCAGAGCCTGGGGTCTGCTTCAGATTCTGTGTCTCCCTCTCTCTGCTCCCCGCCCCCCCTCAACTAGTGCCTCTGTCTGTGTCTCTCTAAGGTAAATAAACATTAAAAAAAATTTTTAAACACACACACACACCTAAGTGGTGCCACGCACTTTAAACCCATGTTGTCCAAGGGCCAACTATAATTTAAAGTGAGGAATAATTAACTATGTGCAAGGTGCTAGGAGTCAAGGATGAACATGTCTCAGTGCCTGAAGCTGCTTTCTATGAACCAGCCAAATGTATCATAACAACATAAAGTAGTATGTGCTGTCATGAAGGTATGCACAATATTGTGAAAGCCTACAGGAAGTGATCTATAGGAGACTGGGCTTTAGTAAGTATGCAGACAAAAGTATTTACAACTAGTTTGTAATGACAGAGTTAAAAAAAAAATTAACGAGATTATTGAGGGAAAGCAAGCATACAGGCACCAGAAGAGGCCACTAAAGCAGGAGGCAAAGGGAAAACTATAACCGGCTTTCGAAATGCTTTCCATGACATACCTATGACAGAATTCTAACAGTTTGTTTGTGTGTGACTCAATTTATTTTCGCTGTAAGCAACAGAAACCATCTCTGGCTTATCTTCAGAAAAAAAGAACAAAAGAACAATATTCCCAGAATGTAAGTGCAACTGACTAAAGACTCAGAAAGGGTAGGAACCAAGGCAGCTCAGAGAGCTTAGAAAAGGGAACTTGAGGACTTTTCTGCTAGAGCACAATCAATACCATGATTCACTCTAACCATGCCAAACTTCTGTGTCTGGGCTCTAAATTTTAACCTCCCAGGACAGATGATCCAATTGGCCATGGCAACATCAGATGTTGTGACTCAGTGTTCACTGGGTTACAGCCACAGCAGGGACACAGTATTGGGAGCCGATGCCAGAGAGGGAAGAGATACCATGAACTGGACAGTCATCCTCAAACTTACCTGCTGCACTCTACCCTGGATTTCTAGACACACGGTGTATACATTCTAAAACAAGCAACCATGACAAGGACATTACATACATAAAGGTTTGTGAAACATGAATTCTCATCAATTTTTGAGGAGTTTCATAAAAACTGGGTGTCTATTCATTATATGTAACATGGTGAAGACAAAAAAGTGAGAAATTACTGCAGTAAGAAAGTGCTAGTCGACAGACTCAAGTTAGAGAATTCACTTAGGCAATGACATCACAGGATTTAGGAAAAGAATCCATTAGAAATGATACAATTATGCTTAAAAGTCATCAAGACAATACTCAATATTTTTAGACTGGTTTCAACAATTAGTGTAAGTTGCAAATTTCAAAAATCCAAAATACAGTTCTTTAAAAGTCAGGTATGAATATAACAAATCAATAGTAGAAACTGCCATTTAAATGCCATGTTCTTAATAATTTAAAAAATTCCCTAATTGCTAATTGCCAGGGAAACTGACCACTCTGAGGTTTCTCAGAAGCTTTAGAAATGTCTATAATACCTCATACCTCCTGCTTACAATCGTTCACACTGTAGATCCAAATAATTACCCATAATGAATGATGTGGTCGTTTGTCTCAGCATACAAATAGTAACCACACTCCTTATGGACCGAGGCCACAATACTCCAATACGCGTGCACAGAGATGATTAACGTTTTAAAATTACAAAGTAAATGATAAAACTGCCATAAAGCAAATATCAATTTGTAAATTTCAAAGTATATAAACGTTAAATAGAAATCCTTGTAAAGAACTAAACTGAGGATACTTGTTTCTTTCTTATCCATTGGAAGAGTCAAATAAAACTGTTGAACATGCATACTAAACTACCAATATAAATTGGTAAAACATTCCAACACCAAGTCACACAGTAAAATATCATGAGGAAATTTCTACAGATTTTCAAAACCATGTTTCACTGGCTCTTAGTTCCAGAAGATACATCTGAAGTCCCCATCTTGGGAATTTGTCAATACATATCACCTTTATTAGTGTGTGAAAGAAACTAAGAAATCCGGCAACAAAATTACACAATGCTGTTG